TTTTGCAAACGCGCAAAGAATGCATGCTAGTGGGCAACTAGACGGTTTTCCCATAGGCACTCCTATCACCTGCCTCAATAGGACACCCCCTGCATAGATGAATGCATACTTTAAGTCAAATTGAACCATCTCCTGGATCAGTGTCAAAGTGACGAGTACACATTCATCTCGTGACCCCCCATAAAAAAAGCCACGCCTTCTTTCCTCTCTTCACCACCTTAACCCCTCGGCAACCCCGTCTGTCAAAGAAAATAAGGAGCCATCCCACAGCGTCTAATATATCCTCATGCGGTAATGAGACAAACATGTCTTTGATATCGTAAGCACAAGATATGAGATCATTGTAACCATCAAGCTTACTTAATCGTCGATCCATGTTTCTTATCCCTGGCACAAAATCCATCACCGCCTTCAAATTGAAGGATACTTGTGCAGGTAAGGAAAACAGCAAAGCGTTGAGTGCCCTGGCTACCCTTCCGCTGGCCATTCTAGCAGGCTCATCACAGGTTGGTGAAATGGGACGCCATCTAGTGAGGTCCTTATGCTTAGGAAGGACATAGGCATTCCCAAAAGTCCCGACCGTGTTCCATTTCCCCAAAAGCTGCAACTGTTTATTGTGGAAGTCTTCCTGCATCTGTGTCATGAGCCTCCCTATTCCCAAAGTAACCGGAGAGAAAGAGAGGTTCCATTCAAACGTCATAGCGAGATAGTGACGATAGATCACCGGGCAAACGACAAGTGTATCCGCATTGTTGCGGTCGATCGGGACACAGACAAAGACTTTAAGACGCTTATACCAAGTAACCAGTTCTATTAGGTCGGCAGCCCTTTCTTCGCTGGTTGAAGAGTTCCAGCACGACATCAAATCCGATTCCGAGATGACTAGATCAATGTGCAGGTAATTGGCCACTGCTACCAACTGCTTCCCAAGTTCGATCCGTCCATGCACTGGCAGGATCCTAGGAATATTGCGGGATTTGCATAGTAGAGGAGGAACGTCTGGAATTTTGCCTATGCGAGAGCATATATGCATACCAACATGCTTCCAAGAAGCTTCGAGATGACAACAGCAAGGTGGGGAAACTTTCGATCGAGCAAACTGATGAAAATTTCAGAGAAAGCGGGATACTGGCTTGTTTTTCCGCCAAACGAATCTCACTTTTTTTATGCAAGAGTTGTTTGACTCCAGTCCACCAAGGAGAGGAACTCAGTAAGCGTAGTACTAACCATGAACCTTGGCAGAGCTCAAACGATGGTCATAGGACATCCGTACTACTATCCGCCGTTGCACATCAATCCCGGTCTTGGACTTGATAGACCTGGCTAAAATATCTCGGAGCGTACTTCTAGTGGATTTGGCCGAGAAACCACGAATAGCCCTGTACCACCTTACGAGAAGATCGAGTGACTTAAATCTCAGCATTCGACGACGCCAAGGTTGGAGCAACAACATTCGTAAATGCCCTTTTGAAATTGCCCTTCCTTCAGGTGTGAAGACCACTGGGCCAAAATGCCATGTCCCTCCCTGTTCCAACGTACTCTTCAATTCCTTCAAATGAAAACATTCGCTCCCAATACGTACTGCAGTCAGTCCGAAACATTGCCTAATCAGCGGCCATGTGTTTGCCCACAGAGAGCCACCCGAAAACTCAATCGAAATGTACCTACTATTTCGCGTGACAGCCAAACGCAACAAAGATAGTAAACTATCTGACCAATTCCCACCCTCTTCCCGGAATCCGAGAATGTCGATTTTCAGATTGAGAGGTAGCTTACCTTTCCTTCTATAGCGTGCCGGTCGAGACTGTCGCGTAGATTTTCGAGATTTCTTGCGAAAATTCAGAATGGGAGAGAAATTTTTAATAAGGACTTTTTTTGCTGTATCCACAGAACTGACCCCATTAACCAGCGGAACTATAACATACTTGGAAACCCCAAATTTTTTTAACCAGCGGTACAGTTTAGGACAAACTCCTATGTCATTAGCTTTGACCGTACGAAAGTGCTCGCCCCACCGGACATATATACTCCTCACTGTGCAGCCTACGTACTGCGCCTTGCACCAGGGAGACGACAAAATGTATACCACCAGCCCATTATCCCAGGATTCCCAATTAACGCTAAGTAATAGTGAATGAAACTTCCTCATCCATGAAATCTCCCCCAAAATCGCTAGTGCCGTAAAGCAAAGCATGACACATGTGTCTAAGAGAATCCTTACCCGTGGCGTACGTCCAAGAAGCCAGGCCTGATTCCGGAGTCGCATACATTCCAATAGATTCGACCAGAGCCGAAAACGAGAATAAGACTGAAGTCACTTCGCTGGGGTCTGTTCCAGGTCAGGGCTACCGGCTGGTGACTCGACCGGTGTGAAAACAAACCCCTTATATGCCATCTTCGCCCGTGCTTCAATAATCTTTTCGATCGTGGGTGCCTTGCTGGTGTAAATTACACCCTCATTTCTGCATATCACCTTCAGCTGGTCTTTGTTTTTCGTCATCAGGATCTTCCTCTGAGCTTGCACATAGGCTAGCACCCCTTCCGGACCCGATCCTGCAGTGATCTTGGTACGCGTCCGTTCTTCTCCCATCCGAGAGGATTCCGCCGGCATCTCTTCCTCGCCGCACTGCCGAAACACCGGCTGCTTGAACGGGCGTCTGTTGATATCAGCGAACTCCTTCCCTTTACGTTTTCGCTCCCTTAACTCATAGAGTTTGGCGATCTCGTCATCGATCTCTTCCAAACCCTTGTTGGCATAGTCTCCAAAATCTTCCTCTCTCTCCACCCGCATCGGAGTGCGTGTAACTGGCGTTTTGATTTCTTCCCTCCTTGCTTCATCCCTAGCTACCAAATATTGTCTTCCAATCTTGGACATCACTCTAGCCTCCAATGCTTCGGCATTTCGTTCAATCTCGAGCCTAATTTTCTCGTCCATTATCCTCCTCTCCTCCATCTCTCTTTTCCTATTTTGCTCCTCCTTCTTTTCCGCGATGAGTTGCCTCAAGAATTCGCGCTCGTCTGGATCTTCTTGTTGCCGCCTGGGAGTAGCGCGGCGCTGGACTGGGAGCACCCCCCGCCCCGTTCACATGTGTGTTCTGATTGCCTCGTGCGGAGGGGCATTCCCGGGCAAAGTGACCCTGCCCCCCACAATTGAAGCATTGATTCCCTCCTCCGTTCGTTGCCATGTCGAATCTAGATAGATGGACTGAACGCCGAGATGAGTCAAGGCAGGAAGCGATGGCGTACACTTGTATCAAGCCGGAGCCTGTATAGATGGATCGTTGTCATACACAACACCATGATTACTAAAAGACACCCCGGAAAACTCAGGTGAGCGAAAAAATCTCCAAAACCTAGGCAGCCAACACCACTAATGCTAATTACCCGATGGAAGTATCATCGAACAAAAACGATTGCTATGAACCCTGATCGGATGTCGCCTTCATAGATCGACCCCCTAATCGGAAACGGAACCGTCAGAAAAAGGTTTTTTCCGTCGTCCAAGATTAATCCTGCCTAACTAAGACCTGGACCGTACCTGCCACGTCATCGTAGTAGATAGTCATGCTAATAAACACTTCAGCAACCTCTAGCCAGAAGATGCATTTAATCAAGATTCTTTCCATTGCACAGGAGTTAACTCCTCACCTTCGTTACCGTATCCAACTATCTCCTTATCTCGTTACCGTATAGCACCCCTCTACCTAAGAAACGTAAGTGTGGCCACAGGGATACTGTATGCTCAACATACAGTGTTCCCGGGATGTAATATGCTCATTCACAGAATGCGCAAAATTTGGCCTAAATCAGCGTTAAAAAAAATCTCAATTGTAATATGCACATTCACAGAATGCTCAAAATTTGGCCTAAATCAGCGTTAAAAAAAAAATCTCAAATCGCAAGAAAAAAAAAAGAACATTTTGAAGTTAACGAAATGTCAGTTGGGGCGTGTTTAAAAAAAAAAAAAAAAAAAAAAAAAAAAAAAAAAAAAAAAGTTATGCCGAGTAATGGGGACCACCGGACCCAGGTTCCAACAGCAGATGCTGCTCCCCACTCAGCCATAATGGGGAGGAGCGTGTGTATGTTTCAATGTATTTATTATTGACTTGCCGGGGGAATAGGAACCGGCCTGTTGCTCCCCAGAATGGCAGGGGCCAGAACTGAGAGGTTCTGGAAAAAAAAAAAAAAAAAAAAGACCGGAGCAACCACGGCCAGGCCAACTAGGGAGAGATGCTCACATCACTCTCCCTAGTGGGCAATGTCAGTCTCCAAAAAGAAAACAAAAAAAAAACCGAAAAACTAGTTATGAAGGTCACTGTGGATCCACGCAGTAACAATCGCAGTACCCTGAACGGTATGTAACTGTGAGTGTGTACTACCTACCATCATCCCCCCGACCATAACACACCTCGATAATGAATGTATACAAGTTATATTTCCAATCAGGTACCGTCAAAATGAGGATGCATTCTGTTCGGGGGGAAGACGGTAGGAGGAAAGCTGGTAAGCTATGATCCCTTTTCTTGTCTGCTTGGTATAAACTCGACGTCCTCCTGTTCAGGTTCGGGGACGACTCCTGCGTCATCGTAAACTTGTCGTAAACCACCAGTTCCAGGCCCATACATCGGCCATGGGCCCTTGCTGCATGGTACGCGCCGCAACTTTCGGGACTCGGCCTCTGGAGCAAAATGGCTGGCGGTGCCAGCCAAAAGGAGACCACAACTGTGTTTTTTTTCCTTTGGCGTGCAGGGCATTTCTAGGGACGGAGAAAAGTGCCTACTAGGAAGTACCAGCGGTTAATTCACTAGTAAGAACATTGTCTGTGTTTTCTTTATCAGAGGCCGGCATCTGGCGCCGGTTGAAATGCGTAGGGAAATAGCCAGACGCGTTAGCATGGGAGATTGGAGCTCGGGTATTGACGATGATCTGCGCAAGGGCGTAAGGGGATGGTTGTGTTGGAACGCTGGCGATGGTGTGCTTAACGATTTTTTCTAAGATATTTTGGCCCCTCTTTGAGCTGCATGCCTGCGAAGAGTGTATCTCGGTGTGCACGTGCATGACGGTGTGTGTAACCTTCCAGGCTTCGGCGACGCTCTGTGTTCGCCCTCTTTCCATCTGTTCAAAGACGCTGTAACCTGTCGAGGGAGCCGCTCGTATATGGTGACAGCGAAGGCTAGACTTCTTAGGTGTCGCAGACGAAGTGTAAGGAGTAAGTTGTAGCGTCTCAAGTTGGTGACCGCAAAGATCAAGTTCGTCGAGTGGAATCGCGCCAACGATCGTAGGAGGTAAGGACCAAAGGGAGGGCGTCATACTATGGACCAAAATAATCAAGGGAATAGTAACAATCAGGGCGGGGGAGGAGGAGGCTGGGGACCGCCTGGATGGGGAGGGAATGGGGGAAACGGGAATGGAAACGGGAACGGGTGGGGAGGGGGTTGGAACAATGGCCCGCCAGGTGGATGGAATGGTGGAGGGCAGGGTTGGAACGGCAACGGGGGTGGAGGATGGAATGGAAGTGGGTCGGGATGGAACGGTGGGGGAGCAGGCTGGAATGGAGGACGGCCAGCTGGCGGAAACTGGGGTGGAGGAGGTGGACGGAGGAATGTCAGATGCTATAACTGTGGTCAGTACGGGCATTACTCCAGGGATTGTATGATGCCGAGACAAGGGGGCGGAGGCGGGTATCAACAGGGAAATAATCAACCGCAAGGCGGCGCGCCGGGTCAAGGTTGGAACGGAGCGGGAAGTGGAAGTGTGGCAACAGGTAATGAAGGAGGTGGAGGTACGTCAGCACCGGTGGTTAAATTAAGTAAGGAACTAGAGGAGTCCTTTGGCGCGATGGCCTCTTTCTTTAAACTATCTCTGGTGGGAAAAAGCGAAGGCGGACGCTGCGAAGAAAGAGGAGGAGGAAAGATTGAAGAGAGAGGAGTTTGAAGGGGTAGCAAAGGAGGAAGCGAAGCGGATCGAACTTGAGAAGAAGGGCGAGGAGGAAAAGAAGGAGGCTGATAGGAATTGGAGTATTAGGAAGTTATTTAGCGAGCAACGTGTGTTCCTGAGGAAGGAAGTGAGATCGGCGGTCAACGAGGAGCTCTACGAGATGGTGAAGCAAGAAGGTAAGAAATTAATGAAGGAAGGTGGGGGCGATGAGTGGGAGGAGGAGGATGGAGACGAGGAGGAGGAAGACGAAGAGGAAGAGGAGGAGGAGGAGAGGGTTTGCCGACGAGGGAAAAGAGTTGTAGTTCCGCCAGGTGCGAACGGGGTAAGTCCACCAGCGGAGACTCCGCCGAAAGCTGTCAGGGGGACTAGTTCAAGGCAGCCGGTATTCGTCGAGGCTTCTCCGGTGGAAGAAGGAAGGAAAGCGAGGGGCCGACCAAAGAAGAAGGAAGTGCCGAGTTTGGAGTTGGACCCGTGGAACGGAGTGCCGTGCTCGGCGGATTACAGAAACAGAACGAGTTACAAGGTAGCAGTAGCCAAGTTCGTGTTGAGGAAGCTTGTTCCGGAGGTAAAGATGATGTGTAGAAGGGAGGGAATTGTCTGGAGAGGGAAGAAGAACGAGGCAGTTGAAGAGTTGACCGAGTTGCGCGTCATGCATAGCGTATTCGAATCGGCTCCTGCCACGGGCATGGGGGTACGAGGTTCAAGGGAACCTTGCCACGTCTCCTCCGTCCGGGCCGGCCCGACAGATAGGGTCGATGATACGGTTGAGCAAAATGAACAAGGAGGAGGAACTGAATAGGGATAGAGCGTGGGATTTTCTTTTGGAAGCGCTCGCAATAAGAGTGAACTTGGGGGTGGGACGGGATGGTAAACGACTATTTGGGAATGTTGATAGGATTTGCCGAATACTTTTGTTGCTTCTGATTGTTGAGGGTTGTATCGCGCATGCAAGTAAATTTAGGAGGTTTCTGCTTGAAGCATTCGATAGAAGTCCGTATGAATGGTTGTATGCAAATTCATGTGTCTACGTCATCTTAAGTCCGTTCTGTCGAAAATTCTATATAGGAAAAACGGAAAGGGAACTTGAGGTAAGATAGCGGAAACACGTGCAGCTGTCAAACCAGCAGGGTGGAAGGAATAGGCTGTACAAGTGGCTCAGAAAAGTGGGATGGAAGGGGTATGTTGCAATTCCTTTGGTGTGTTGTGGTAATGGTGAGTTACTTCAGGTCGAGGGAATGTGCATTAAGCGATGGTCGTCGTGCTTAAATAGCATTGGATGCACGAAATCGGGTAAGTGGAAGGGAAGGAAAGGGAACAGAGCCAGAAAGGCAAAGAAATGGCAAAGGGGCTCGGTTAATTAGATTTAGAACAAAGGAGAGGGAGTTTTGTGATCTGTGTCTGGTGTTGAATAAAGGGAACCGGGATTTTATAGCGAAAAGAGGAAACGTTTGGACTACAAAGTGGTCGATAGTTCGAAGGAATTTTGGTGAGACGATTCTGCGAATCAAGGGGAGGACAGCGGCGTTGAAAGAATGCAAGAAGGAATTGGAGAAAGGGGGAAGGATCCAAGTGGTGAGATTAGTTCGGGGCAAATTTGGGCTAACTAAGGATAAGAAAACATTGATCCGACTACTCTCACTGCCTTGGACCGTGAAAGGACTGTATAAGCGGTCGTTAGAGGAGTTGGTCAGACTGTTCCAGGCTGCGAGAAAGTTCTCCAAAAAGACCATGAGGAAAAAAGTCAAGAACATTGTGGATGGAGTTATTTTGAAAAAATTCGGGGTGAAACTGAGGAAGAGGCTGGTGGTAGGAATTACCTATAGTGATGCGATTTCAAAGAAGGCAGTTCGGGAACTGGTGAAAGAAAGGGTTAGGGAGCACTTTCCTGAATGCGTCAGTAAGGTCATTTGCAGGCGACTGAGAACCGTCTGGAAACGAAATCAAACGGTTGGTCAGGCCCTGCAGAACCAGAGAACAGTAGCCCTAGATGTGGTTGGTGTCTGCCCGTGTGCAGACTCGGACCTCCCAAAGGTGGAGGGTCATGTGACCTTCAAACTGACCACGTTGAGGAATGTCCCCGATGCGCTTAAGAACGCAAAGGACTCAATTAGGAAGGTAGGAAGGGACCTTGCGAAGGAAGTGAATGATGCTTTGTTGAAATTTGGGTTGGACGGATCAGTAAAACCGGGTGATGTGTGGAAAGCCATTAGGGTGGAAGGAAATGGCGAGAGGGGGTACACTGACAACGCTGTTGAGCGATGGAGAAAATTATTGGTAAACTTTGTCCGGGTGCCTCTCGATAAAAACCCACCAGAGACGCTGGTCATGTGCCCGAAGGTGTATGCAGATGGAATGAGGGATATGTTCTGGGGAAAGGAGAGTTTTGATGCTGTCATAGGTTCAGAGGAGGATGTCCTTGCCGGGTGTAAGGGCAAGTATGAAGAAGGAGGATTCGATAGCCTGGGGAAATGGGACGGGAAAGGGAGGTTGGGGCATGCGTACATTCTGCCGAAGAACAAAGATATTGGCAGATTCAGGCCGATTACCCCGTCCCACTCAAAACCGTCAAAGCAAGCAGGGCAAAGAGTTGCGAGAGCCTTGAATGGCATGATAGCCCTGCTACCTCCGTCTGGGCACTTTAATCTGAAATCGACGGGAGGGCTGAAAAGGAGAGTGGAAGAGATTACCAGATGGGCACAGGCGAAAGGGGAAGGAGGGACGATAAAAGGAATGTTGTTTGATGTCAAGGAAATGTTCAATGAGCTACCACACGCATCGATACTAAAAGTCGTCGAGTGGCTCAGAGGAATGATGAAGAAGAAAAAGAGGGAAGGGGTTTATGTGAAGAAGAGGGGAAAGAGGGTATCGTTTGCAAATCGAAGGGATAAGGATTGGTTGTTTGTGAGTGTGGATCAGGTGATGGACTATGTACGATATGAGTTAGATAACACCTTTTTGATGGCGATCGGTAGACTGCTCAGACAGGTCAAGGGGGTACCTATGGGAAAAAGCAGCAGTCCCCCCTTGGCCTGCCTGCTATGCATCTATAACGAGGCATGTTTTTTGGAGTCACTAGGGAGGGACAGGGGTTTGATTCGAGGGGTGAGGTTGGTCGATGACCTATCAGTATTTGTGTGGGAGGGAAGGACAAATAGAGGGAAGCATAGAGCAGCAGAGGTGGCGGAAAAGGTTG